CCTGACAATCCATCGTCATGACTCAGTATTCGTTCGACATGTCACTGACACTTACGTTGACTGGCAGAAGCAGCGTTCTCGCTGTAAGCTATTTCCCCGCTATAGATTTGACCGATGCCGATTACGAGCTCGGATTAACGGATTTTGAAACTTATCACGATTCCGAACGTAAATTTTTCGAATAATAAATTTTATTTTGGCAACGACGACAAGGAAATTACGATTCCCGAAGGATCGTACGAATTGCACGCCATAAATGATTATCTCAAACGCGCAATTTTGCGAGATGAACACCTTTCCAGAGATGGTGAAAACGATTATGATGAGGAATATCCAATAGCGCTCCGCGCCAATCACAGTACGCTAAAGAGTGAAATCAAATGCGCCTACAGAATAAACTTTACCAAACCCGACAATGTAGGATCCTTGCTTGGATTCTCGTCGAATCGTATATGCAACTCTGCAATGGTATGAATCATACGAACCTGTNGATCATAGAGGAACTCCGCGAAGGGCCCGGCCTATTTAAATTTAAACGGCACTCGACCGAAACTAATCAGTCCGATCGACGTCACTAGCATCGAAAAACAATGCCTATCAACAAATTTGGATTATTCGAACGGAGAAACAAAGAAATCAGCACGAGCGGTCATTGGGGTAAATTGGTGACGAGTTACTTGCGTCAAACGCTCTGTGTCGCATCGCAACGGACTATGACGCGAGGTCGCACAAGATTCGCCGTGTAGCGCAACCTGAGGCTGATACCGATGCGGTCAACAAACTGTACGTGGAAGAATGCGTTAAAACGTTGATAAATCAACGGAAAGAATCAGACGAGAAGCTGACTGCGTTCGAGAAGGACCTGCGAGCTTTGCAGGCTGCGATAAATGAGCTTCGTCGTACGATTAACGCTAATTCAGAAACGGCTATCAACCTGTAATGTGCTGTAGTGAACGGTTTAGGAGCGGCTATTGTACACTTATGAAACATCTAGAAAGGTTTATCGAACGGCTACGAACGATTATCCAACGATTATCGAGCTATAATGAGTGGCACTGATCGAAGAGGAAACGGTCTCGAACGAGGTTACGAACGATTCAAGAACAACTGCGAACGAGGCTACGAGCATCTCAAGGACGGCTGCGAACAAGGCTATGAACACGTCAGGAACGGCTACATACGAGGCGGCATACAAGTCCACAACGGCTACGAACGAATCAAAAACGATTGTCAACGAGGCTACGAACGGGTCAGAAACGACTGCGAACGAGGCTACGGACTGCTTAAAACGACTATCAACAGAGTCAATCGCGCCAACAAAGGGATCAAGAACGGCAGTGAACGGCAATTGAACGGCTATAAACGGCAATCGAACGGGTCAGCAACAGCTACGAACGGCTATTGAACGATTATTAACGGCTACGAACGGCAGTGAATGGCAATTGAACGGCTACTGAACGGCTATTGAATGGTTACGAACGGCTATTGAACGGCTAATTCGATCGACGAATCGAAACAACGATGGGTCGACGATCGGGAATAACCGGGGAAGCGAAGAAACAACATAATTTAGAGAAACGACAGTTGGTGAACGAACTGCACGCACCGGCGAGAAAAAATTTCCCCCGAAGACACGTAATAGTGTGGGGATACGATGATCTGTGGCAAGCCGACATTGTCGAGATGCGTCCGTTTCAACAGAGATTACAACTACATACTCACAGTCATCGATGCGTTGAGCAAGCACGCGTGGGCCGTACCATTCAAGAGTAAAGGTGGAAGCAAGACAGCTGACGCTATCGCCGAGATAATTCGAGATAGCGAGAGGTGTCCGAAAAACATACAGACATGGGGAAGGAATTTTATAACACCGACGTGCAACGGCTCATGCGAAAACATGGCATAAATCATTATTCTACGTATTCGGTATTGAAGGCATCGATCGTCGAGCGATTCAATCGCACGCTAAAAGACGATATGTAGAAGATGTTTACGCTGAACGGATCTTACAAGTGGGTCAAGGCGTTGCCGGGACTCGTATCAGATTACAACGCAAGCATCGAACGATCGGTATGCGACCCGTCGACGTTACCCCCGCGATCGCCGAGAGACTCTTGGCTACTGTATACAACCGTGTAAATATCGCGGAACCGGCGAAATTCAAAGTAGGTGACTCGGTACGCGTTAGCAAGTACAAGACAGTTTTCGAGAAGGGTTACACGCCAAATTGGACAACGGAGGTGTTTAAAATTGTAAAAGTGCATACTAATCCCGTGAGTTATCTACTCGAGGATTATCGCAAAAAACCTATCGCTGGAGCGTTCTACGAGCACGAGTTGCATCGCGCGAATTATCCCGACGTGTATCTCGTGGAGAAAATACTGCGCAGGAGAGGTGACGAGGTTTACGTGAAATGGCTGGGATTTGACAATTCGCACAACTCTTGGATACATAAGGACAATATGATTTAATTTATACAATGTTTATTAATATTTCTTTCAATAAAACTATATATATATATATATATATATATATATATATATATATTCTTAATATAAGTAGTGTAAGATATGCGTTACATAAAATATATGAAATATAAATGTGTAAAATGTGTATTATATAAAACTACATGAAATACAAAATATATACAGTAATAAATAAAATATATACATGTATTTACAAAGGTATCCTATAATGTCCCCATGGTAACGTGTCAGTCGAATCAAGTACGATATATCGCTTGTCATCGTACGGACTCAGAACAATTTTCATCTCGCGGACGGTATACACTTTATGCAATTTCGATCTTATACACGACTGCTGTCGCGTCATTTCAATCTCTTCGTTTAAACACCGCGTGTAATCTTCGAAGGTTATATTACGCGTTACGACATTACTTTTGACGCCTTTAACTTTCTTCGTGTCTTTCTTTCCGTCCACTCGTAATGCGTACATCTTTGCCCTGAGCCCGATAAATTCGGTCATTATCGCACCGTTATTTTCATCCTTCATCAAACCCGGCACTTTTTTATTTACAAGCGGTATATCGTACGCATTGTCCATCGCATAATCGCTCGTGTCAAATCTGGCGATATCGCGCTTCATGTTCTCATAGACATCCGCGCACTCAATGTGATATACGAGACTGTCCGTATCGGTGTACATGATCTTACATTTGTCGCGATACAGAGGAAATATGTACTCGTGATGAAATTCGTATAGACACGTCTTGGATATGTCGAGTATGCACATACCCACGTAAATCGATTTGTAAAATTTCACCTCGAGTTTACGCAATTCTACCGCAATCAGATTTTCCGAAAAAACGCTTCTGCTGTGGAAATTCGGTTTCGCGATCATCGCTTTCGCGCCGTATCGTCCGTCCCATTTTGTTAATAATTTTACATCGACACGATTCCGCACATTTTCCATCGTTTTACCAAACACAGCATTATTCATTAATTTGTATAAATTTTTCTCGAAATCGTTTTTCGCGAGTGTTCTGAAATGTGTATTTAATTCTATATAATTTCGAAGCCATGGAGATTGAGAAAACTATAAAATTCTATGTATTTTTGTCACACGAAGGCCGTGACGTGTACACTGCTGTAGGTTACGGTAGTGTATCACGTAACGCTTCTTATCGTATAACGTTGCGAGCAGTTTGAATTCCCGCTTACCGGGCGGCTTGTCGCGCGTCGGGCAAAACAGTAGGTCGGTGTGCGTATCGTGAAGATGTTGCGGGTACTCGAGATCGACTTCGAGGATATATCCCGTAGGCGAATCTAACGCTATAGATGATACGTTAAAATTCGACGTGTCGTCGACCCATCGAAAATCGGCGTAAGGCAACGGTTGACACATTGCCTATCCGTACAAATTATTAATGTCAAAATACATCAAGTACGACGATGGTTTCGATGGATCGTACGATTGTCGCATGTACTTGTTATTAGCGCGCGCGTATCTGTTGGAACATTGGCTCAGACCACCGCGTATACCGCGTTCTATAAACATGACCATGTCGATATCTGTAAGCAACTCCAATGATCTTTGTATGCTTTAACATGGCATCCCACGTGTATCCGGGGAGAGTATAGTAATACGCGGGGTCGAGTCCGTAACTTTTGATGCAGCTATCGCGAAAATTTTCGAAAATATCTGCTAATAACAATACGTCGATTTTGAGACACATGTCGCTATATTCGCCCAGCGTTCGAATGGAGAATCGCGTCCAGATGTTCTCGGCGTGCGCGTAATCGCTCTCGGATATAGTTTCACCGGTCAAGGAACTGTAAAACGATTCGCGCGGTGGTAAACGCGTATCTCGCAACCTATCTACCGAGTTGACGTATTCGTATGGAAAGACACCTTTCCGTGTTAATAAACTGAAATTTTCCGCGGATAAATTTTCAAATTTCGATTTTAAAATTTTGAGTTTGTCTTTGTCTAGATAAGATGCCAATTTGTCGAGACTCGATGTAAGAAATTTGTACGAATCGATGAAGCGTAATTTTACATTATTTTTCCAATCGCCTTCCTTAAGGTCGACATTTTTTGTAAAAGAAATATATTTCTCTTTCATTATCGGAAGTAACTCGACGCTCCCTTCGAATGCTGTGGCTATTTCCTCGATAATAAAGTGTGAATCGTAACCGGATAAATTGTGGAAAACTATCGGAATACAAAAAGATTCTTTGTAATTTAAATTACAATTTGAATGCGCGGGACCTCTGTACCGCCCGGTCAGATGACAATGATCGCGAACGCGTGTATCGTCTTGCGCGAACGGCTTTTCGCATATATGGCATTGAGTGGCGTTGTGAAATTTTTCACACTCTTCGGACGTTAAATTAACCATGGGGACATTGGTCGTTAAAATATTCTTAACGCGAATCGCTAAATTTTTAAGATCTTCGACGAACCACGCTATACAATCGACGCTACGACACGAATTATACGCCGATAAAGATTCATCGTATGAACAATGCATATAATACGCTATACTAAATACTTGGTGATGTTGATACAATTTTTGTTGTTCTTCCTCCGTTTTGGCCAGAACGCATTCCAGGTCGGCGTACACGACGAAAGGAAGCCGCTTTTTCCTGTTGTAATTGTTGAATTCGAGCCACTTGTCCTTATCGCTCGGCAACCGGATAGCGCAGTCGTTTATCTCCCCGCAGTCGACGGCATGTAACTGCAACTTGACGTCTGAACTAAAATAATGCAGGCATCTGTAAAAGAAAAAAATTTTAATTAAAATTAGAACAATTTTTATATAAATTATTTGATATAATTATTTTATATTAATATATACATACCGGTCGCAGGTATATCTTTGACCGTTGTGTTTGCTCAGTTGCGAGCTCACGAGCCTGGATAAATTTTTTATCCACGCGAAATGTCCGACGCCGTTGCCGTCTTCCACGTATAGCAGATTCACATGCTTATCTCGCTTCTGCTCCGAAAGACGTATCGGGACGATACTGTTCTTGTCTTCGATGCCGTACACGTTGATCGAGATACTGTTTGCGAGTTCAAACTTTTTAATTTGATTTAAAGTTACTGGAAACTCAATGTCCCGGAGATTCAGCACTGTCGCGTAAGGCGGGTACGATGATTCTCGTTCCGCGTTCCTTTCTGCGGGATATAGAGCGGCGACCACTGCCCACGCGAAACACGCATTGTCTTTAGACTGTACGTTAACCACCGCTCTTCTCATCATAATCTCCCGCGACAATTTAATGTGGCATCCCGCGCGCATTGGATTATATGTATTTATTTACATTAACAGTCAAATTCTGTATTCGCGACAATGCCCAGCCACTATCGCGTTCCTGAAACTCTTCCAGAGACGCTAAAGTGGGCTCGATAACGCGGCGCTCGAACCACTCGCGTAAATCCGATGTGCGAAAGAGTTCACAGTTTATCGTATTTATATTTTTATTCGCGCGCTTATCACCCGACACAAATTCACCGTTGAATATGGTATTTACTTTTACACTGTTGTGTTTTTTTAGAACGTCTTGCACTTGCTCGAGCACGATGGCATCCTCGAGAAATTGACGCGGTTCGATATAGTTTGCATTAATCACGGTCAGAATACGGCTGTCGAACGCGGTATCGATCTCTCGCCAAACGAGTCTTTCCGCGTTATTGTCACCGCTGTAATCACCACCACTGGGAATAAACGTCTTTGCAATCGAGTCTTCGCACTTTCTAGTCGCGCGATTTTAGTCTCCAGAGATTGTCTATTTCCGATCGAGAGCCGCGGACGCTTGACACGACTGCGTTCTTCGAGCTCTTTGATCAATTCCTCGCAACGCTGCAGCCACGCGAAATACTCGCCCAAGGTGGCAATTTGGCGAGATCCCTCCACCAGATCGCGTTCGGTCTGCTCGATGTTTTCCATTTTCCTGTCTTTTTCACATTCACACTTTTAAAACACTATGTCACAGTTTTCTACGGATGACTTTTGCACGCGATAAACAATACCGTTCGCTATCTTGAACGTGAAATAGGCGCAAAAATCTTTCTAACAGAACACCGCTATACTTTTTTTACTGTCGACGCGTCGATGGGTGTTCAAATCACATACTATGATGATTTGATGCGCTTCAATCCTTCTTATATGAAGGAGAAAACAAAGCAGTCAAACATCGGCGCTCATACGTTAAAAATTCTTCCGATAAAAAATCATGAAAAACGATTCTAGGAGGTGCCGTTTGTTTATATTGTTTATAAATTTATGTGCTGTGTAATTCAATGAGAGAGATAAGGATACGTCGAACGAAAAAAATCTAGAATTACTTATATCGGGGGTGAGGGGTGTACCGCGAAAGCGTTGATATACGAGCGGTGGAAGCAAGGGTACAAAGCAGCCAAACATCGGCGCTGATACGTTAAAAATTCTTCCGAGAAAAAATCGTGAAAGACGATTCTGAGGTACTATTTGTTTATATTATTTATCAACCGGGCATGCGACACAATATTGCTTATACTTTCGATAAATATATGGGATCGCGCGTACTTTTTACGAGGCGTTTACGACGATATGGCGATAATGTCACATCTCTATTATACGATCTCGTTTCGAGATCTCGCTGCCTTGTCAGAAAGAGTTTGGCAGTGCGCGATTCGAGAAATCAAAAGTGAAGAAATCGAAAGTGAAGAAGTGAATATTTTTTTCATTGTTCTTGTGTATTTTATAAAATGGCCGAAGAAAATATCATTATCATTAATGATGACGATGATGATGATTTTATGATCATCGATGATGACGATGTGATGATCATCGAAAATAATAATGTGAGGATCATTGAAAATGATAATGTAATAAATATTGATGAAGATGACGAAGATGACGAAGATGACGCCGATATCGAAGTAGAACTCTTGGCGGACAGCGATTACGAGAGTGTCAATAGTGATGACAGTGATGAACTATTACAAATAAAAGAACGAAATTTAGACTTACCGGGAGTATTGACGATGAACGATACAATAAAAATATGTTGCATATCGTTCTATTATGTGGAATGTGGACTGAAATATTGTGCGGAATGCTTCCTGGAACTATCGTTTTTATTTCTAGAAGCTAGTGCTGTACGGGAACATCGCTGCATATATTATCAACATTTAAGCAATTTGTCTTGCAAAGAGTGCAGAAGATCTTTGAATCAAATACTGCCGTGCGACATGTGCACACATTAAAACATTGTAAGTATTATTTTTTAAATCTTAACTCTAACTACGCTTGTATTAATTTAATATCTTTTTTCTGTTACAGGAGCAACCATCCCCCAGACCCGGCGACCCTCCCCCCCTTCCCCCAAATATATTATATTTTTATATTTTAAAATTTTATTAGAATTTTAATTTTAAATACACACACACACACACACAAATGTATAATACACACATTTTATTAAATTTTATATTTTTTTTAATTGGAAAAAAAAATATGATTATTTACAGACCTCTTCTTGCGTTCCCACCCCTGCGCTAGTTATAAGTATCGTTCTCTCTCATGCGTTAATCTTAAGTTTCTCTCTCGCACGCGTTGTTCTCGCGCCATCACCTCTCTTAAGCGTCGTCTTTCAAGCGTTGCCTTTCAAGCATTGTCTTTCAAAAGAAAGCTGCTATTTTTTTTTTATAGTGCAGTTGTTTGTAGACTCAATTCTTTTGTTTTTACGATGCGTTTTGGAGATGGCAGCATATGGTGTCTCTGCTACGATTTCGGACCGAGATCTCGTCATATAGTTCAGAACTGTGAACGTGAGTTCATCGCTCCACGATATATACCATAAAACGGTGAAAGAGTTTTTGATAAAATGTATCAACACCTTACGTGGTTTAAATTGTGGAAGAATAGCTTTATTAAGTTATTCTTTAGTGTAATTTTAAAAATTACATTCGATTGGCGTTTGGAGGTAAGTAGCGTTTGCATGTACGTGTGATTTTTTAAATTAGATTATTAAAATAATTATTTATTATTTATTATTTAGTTTTAGAGAGAAGTTGAACTTCCAGGATTCATACACATATATCATAGACAGTGGGTGCGAATGATACGTCGAGCTCGACGGGAAGATATTTTAGATATATGGGGCGACACTCCGGACAGTCGCCATCGTCAGGTCGAAGATGTCTTCGATCTGCGGCGGCTTTTCGGGGAAGAGCCCTATCTGAAAATCATCCACGAAGAAGAGTGGATCCTAGGTGGAAACGTGTGGATGCTACAGGACGATTTGATGGTTCTAGCAGATTAATGTAAGTACTTTTATACTATTTTTATACTATTTTTATATTAAATAAATTATTAAATGTTTTATTAAAAACTAATAAAATGTATATCTTTTTTTGTTGCAGGCGCGATCTCTCTCAGCTCGGCGCATTCCCCTCCCCATATATTTTGTATTATTTCTTATTTCATATTTTTTATATTTTTTATATTTTTTATTTTCTTTTTATCATTACTTTTTATTCTTAAATTTAAGTATACATATACACACACACACACACACACACACACACACAAATATATAAACACACACACACACATTTTTAATAAATTTTATACTTTCATTTAAAAAAAATATATTTATTTACATTATCTCCCTCGCACGCGTTCCTTTTCTCTCGCGCCATCGTTCCCTCTCCCTCGCACGCGTTCTCTTCGCGCCATCGCTCCCTCTCCCTTGCACGCGTTCTTCTCGACCTTTCGAATCTCTATTCAGCCTACTGTCCTATTCCAAATCATCCTGCCCTCGTGACCTAGTTTTTTTTTTTGCGTTACTTTTGTTAGTCCTTCGTCCGGTTGATGAAAAAAAGGATTTATGTTTCCTTTCCTTTTTTCTTTTTTTCTTTCTTTTCTTTCTTTTTTTATTTTTTGTTTTAAGTCTCTCTCTCTCTCTCTCTCTCTCTCTCTCTCTCGCACGCGTTCTCATCTGGAAATCATCCATGAAGAAGAGTGGATCCTAGGTGGAAACGTGTGGATGTCACAAGATGACTTGATAGCTCTAGCAGGTTAATGTAAGTACTATTTTTATATTAAATAAATTATTAAATGTTTTATTAAAAACTAATAAAATGTATCTTTTTTTCTGTTGCAGGCGCGGCCTCTTTCAGCTCGGCGCATTCCCCTCCCCATATATTTTGTATTATTTCTTATTTCATATTTTTTATATTTTTTATATTTTTTATTTTCTTTTTATCATTACTTTTTATTCTTAAATTTAAGTACACACACACATAAAAATGTATAAACACACACACATTTTTAATAAATTTTATACTTTCATTTAAAAAAAAAATATTTATTTACATTATCTCGCACGCGTTCCCTCTCTCTCGCGCCATCGTTCCCTCTCCCTCGCACGCGTTCTTCTCGCGCCATCGCTCCCTCTCCCTCGCACGCGTTCTTCTCGGCCTTTCGAATCTCTATTCAGCCTACTATCCTATCTTAAATCACCCTACCCTCTTGACCTAGTTTTTTGCGTTACTTTTGTTAGTCCTTCGTCCGATTGATGAAAAAAAGGATTTATGTTTCCTTTCCTTTTTTTTCTTTTTTTCTTTCTTTCTTTTCTTTTTTTTTTGTTTTAAGTCTCTCTCCCTCTCGCACGCGTTCTCCTCGCGCCATCGCTCCCTCTCCCTCGCACGCGTTGTTCTCGCACGCGATGCATTTCAAAGAAATGCAGATGTTTATATTATTCATCAACAAAGCATGCGATACAATATTTCATATACTTTCGATAAATATATGGGACCGCGCGTACTTTTTACGAGGCGTTTACGACGATATGGCGATAATGTCACATCTCTATTATACGATCATAATCTCAATTCAAAAAATGCTGATGTTTATATTATTTATAAACCGAACATGTCCGTACGCAATACTGTTTATCAACCGGGCATGTAATATAATATTGCCATAAAACATCTAACATGCGCCGCCGCCGAAATCCCTCCGTCCCGCGTGACGTCATTCCCCCGCGCCTCCGTAATCCCCTGCGCGCCTCACCCCCCCTGAGAGGACCCGAGTTAGAACTCTCCTTATACTCCTACTGGAATCATTTGCAAACTATCTTCAAATTCAACAATGAAGTATATTTCTTCCATGATGATAATCAGTAAATACTCTATTTTTCTTTTTCTTTTGGTCTATCTTGAAATATGTTCAAAATTATTAATGCAACAATGGAAAAACTGAAAATTTATTATCTTTTATTAATGGTAGCTTAACATATTTTGTTTCAACAT